AATCACAAAATCCCTGTCATCACTTAACAATGATATATGTCTAAGAATGGAAAGCACAGAGGCTCTTAATATTATGTCAGGAAGCCTGAGTTTTCAAACCTGTCTGCCATTAAATAGCTGTGTGACCTTAGATCCCTTAGCCATTCTGGACCTGTTTCCTTATCAGAAAATAAAGGAGAATGAACTGTATCGATGTTTTCCTAATGATTGTCAGAAAGTGGGGATGTAGAGGATTATAGAACTACGAGAGGTGATTTTCAGATTACACATTGCCTCTCCCCATCACCTCCTTATTCCTCCATCCATATAATTGAAAAGCATATGATACTCCCATTCTTCCCCTAGCTGAGAAGTACTGAATTATATAATCTATCTCCAAGGCGTTTTGTTGCACTAAAATATTAATACAAGATCTGAGAACTGGAAGAAAACTTAGAGATTCTCCAATCACAAGCATGGCCCAGAAGATTTTTTGACTCTAACCATTGTTAGTTATAGATGGGAAACTTTGGGAAGTGAGAGGCTTCCCAAGTGGATTAGCATTTTACTTGGCTGAGTGATGTGACAAAATGCAGTATTCCCAATCTTCACCCTTCTCGGAATCCATGCCCTTTGCCATGTGACTTTGTAGTTCCCACCACTAGGGCAGAATATATTTCTCTACCCATTGGTATTGGGTTTGCCCATGTGACCTGCTTTGACCAAAGAAATACTAGCAGATGTGATGTGAGCATAGGCTTTAAACATGCTTGTAAGATAGGGCTTGTTCTCTTGTGCACTTGCCTTTCACTATGAGGAGAACATGCATTTGGTAGCCACTGGTCCAAGGAGTATAAGAGACAGGCAAAGCAGACCAGGCCCCAGCCTGCAACCTGGAGCCAAACCTAACCAATATAGATCAGCTGAATCCCAGCCAACCCACAGACATGAGAAATAAATACTTATTGTCATATAAGATTTTGCATTTGTTAGTTATGTAGCATTTTTACATAATAAGTAATTCAGAAGATAATATTTTAATATTTTAGACATCAAAATTTCCATTGGATTATAAGATTCTAAGGAAAAATTTCTCCCTCTCTCTCACATATACAAATATTGATAAATAAACACAAAAATGAAAGTGTAATTACAGATCTATAAAATAGTACATCTAAAAAAGAGTCAGATCTAGTGGCAAAGAGTTGTCTATGATGTACAGAACCTGTCTCTCATGTTGATTCAGTAGAGAAGTTAATGATCACTGGGTTCTTCATCCTATCTAAGATAATAACAATCAGCCAAACATTGCAGTTACAGCTTACTGTATATGAAAATACTACCATAAAGATAATTACACTGTAAAAAGCACTATTTATACTAAAGAAATATGTCATAGTCATTACAATATCTCAATTAACCTGAATGCAGAGATAAAAGAGTATTTTGGTTATTATTATCTTAGGAATAATAAATATTTTTAAGGTATATTTTTGTGGCTTTTACAGTAAAACAAGATTTTCAGATATCTATTTTAAGATAAACTACTAAAATATAAGGAGTAAAGTTTTTGCTTAGTTCCTTTATAATATCTTTTTCTTTTTTTTTTTTTTTGTGAGGAAGATCAGCCCTGAGCTAACATCCATGCTAATCCTCCTCTTTTTGCTGAGGAAGACCGGCTCTGAGCTAACATCTATTGCCAATCCTCCTCCTTTTTTTTTTCCCCAAAGCCCCAGTAGATAGTTGTATGTCATAGTTGCACATCCTAGTTGCTGTATGTGGGACGCGGCCTCAGCATGGCTGGAGAAGCGGTGCGTGGGTGCGCGCCCGGGATCCGAACCCGGGCCGCCAGAAGTGGAGCGCGTGCACTTCACCGCTTAGCCACGGGGCCGGCCCTAAAATCTTTTTCAAATGTACTAGTTCCCTTCCTGCCTTAGGAAAGAAACTTAAGGTATAGTGACCTCATGACAGTAATTGAATATTTACTTCATGGTACAGGTTCTTTTCCTTAAAGCAATGATCATTGTATAGTGCTATGGATAAAGAAACTACAGATTAGACCAATCTATGCACTAACCCCAGGCTATCTTCTGAAAGTTTCTTTGGAAAATACAAACATAATATTTACCACTTACCCTTATCTCTGAAAAGTGGAATGCAGAAAAAAATTGCAGCTATTCAAAGCTCTTTAGTCAAGTTCTGATTATTTATTCATTGATTCAAGAAACTCCTGCTGAGTCTCCTGTGTGTGGAACTGGGAATAGAAAAAGCCTGCAGGATAGTGGTGGAGAAAAGCTAGTAAAGAGGCAAATGCAAAATATGATCGAGAACACCCAGCCCAATCTTCAGGGATCAAGAAAGTCCGCACAAAAGCAATGGCACCCAAGCTGAGATCTGAAGGACAAAGAGAAAGTAACCAGGTGTGGTAGGGGAATAGTTTTCCAAAAATGGGAACATCATGTGGAAAGGCTCTGAAGTGAGAGAGAGTGTGGTGAATTTAGGAACGCCAAGTAACTCAGGTGCATATATGCTTTATGCCTTTCTGCTTAAACTGCCTATACTTTTTTTTTTATGAGATTAACTTTTTTTTTTTTAATTTATTTTTTCCCCCAAAACCCCAGCAGATAGTTGTATGTCATAGTTGCACATCCTTCCAGTTGCTGTATGTGGGACGCGGCCTCAGCATGGCCGGCGAAGCGGTGCGTCGGTGCGCGCCCGGGATCCGAACCCGGGGCGCCAGCAGCAGAGCGCACGCACTTAACCGCTAAGCCATGGGACCGGCCCCTGCCTATACTTTTAAGCTTAAAATGTCCATGAAAATAAACACTTTCTTCACTTGGCTTCCAGGAGCTTCTCCTCCCACCTCGTTGACAATTCCTTCACAATCCCCTTCAATGTGCCCTCATCATTTCCCAAACATTTAGTCATTATAGTGCATCAGGCTCAGCCTCTCAGATTCTCCTTTCTAATACACACTCACTCTCTAAATGATCTCAACCAGGTTTCAAATATTATCTATTTGCTCATAACTATCAAATTTTACGTCTCCCCAGAACTCCTGACTCTTAGATCCAATCCCTTACCCTATGTCTCCACTTGGATATCTAATAAGCATCTCAAGCTAGACATGTCTAGAACTGAACTCTTGACATTTTCCCTACCAAAACTTCTTTCCACAGTCTTGTTCAACTCTGTAAATAGCAATTACATTCTCCTAATTGCTCAGGCCAAAACCTTTGAGTCATCCTTAACTCTAGTCTTTCTGTGATACTCACATCTGCAAATCTTATCAACTTCATCTTGAAAACATTCAGGATCCTCTCATTCTTCAACTATCTCCAGCCCTACTACTCTAATCCAAGCCACCACCATCTGGATCCTGGAATATCTCAGTAACTTCATAACTGTTCTTCTACCTTCACCCTTGTTGTCTACAGTCTATTCTCAACACAGGAGCAAGAGTGATCCTTTTAAAAATATGTCAGATCATGTCATTCCCCGGCTCAAAACATTCCATTAGCTTACAATCTTACTCAAAGTAAAAGTGAAATTCCTTAAGAGTAACCCACAAGCCCTTTATGATGTTGCTAACCAACATCTCTTGATTTTCTTTCTGTTCCATGCCCCTTTGCTCACTCTGCTTCAGCCATCCTTGCTGGTCCTCAAACATGCCCAGCACCTTCTTGCCTCAAGTTCTTTGTACTTGCTGTTCCGCTGCCTAAAACTCTCTTCGCCAATATCTATATGATTCATTCCTTTACTTCATTCAGGTCTCTGCTCAAATGTCACCGTATCAATGAAGACTTCTCTCACCTCCCCATATAAAATAGCTCCTCCTCACCCCATCTGCCTTGCTCTACTTTATTTCTCTCTTTAACCCTTCTCACTACTGGACTCAATTACAAAAACAAGAAACAAAAGAATGTGTTTATTTATTTACTGTCTATCTTCCTAACCTAGAATGTAAATCTCCTTGAGAGCCTAAATATGTGTTATTCACTGCTGTATCCAGAACCTTAGAATACTGCCTGGCAGATCATAGGTCTGCAGTAAATATTTGGTGGATGAATGAATAAAGGCTGAAAATATTATGAATTTTTCTGACAAAAGCTATTAATGTAACTTACAATTTTAAGAGTCACTTTTCTATATTGCATCCCTAATTAATAGTTAAGTGCTTATAAAATATGTGAAAATAAATAATGACTTTTTTCCTCTTTGGCCTAAAGACACACACACACACACACACACACACACAGACACACACACACGAGGTCACCAGCAAGAGCTGAACAATCTGGAAGACTTTCTAGCACTCTTTTCCTTCACTTGGCTTAGCACTTTTGAACATACTGAAGGAATATGTAGAGTTCCTGTGTTATCTTTTAATATTTCACCTATAATTCTATATATGAGTTAATAACAGTACTTTGTCAATGTTTGTAAAATATCAATAGAAAAACTGGCAAAAACTACAGGCATACAATTCACAGAAGAAATACAAATAGCCAATAAATATACGAGAAATGTTCATCTGAGTTAATGTTCTTTAGTGGTTAATTTTCAGCAACCTAAAATGGCTTGCGGGGCCGGGAGAGGGAGACCAAAATCACTTCAAGAAAACCAACACTAGCAAGAGGTTTCTTTTTTTTTTTTTTTTTGTGAGGAAGATCAGCCCTGAGCTAACATCAGTGCTAATCCTCCTCTTTTTGCTGAGGAAGACTGGCTCTGAGCTAACATCTATTGCCAATCCTCCTCCTTTTTTTCCCCAAAGCCTCAGTAGATAGTTGTACATCATAGTTGCACATCCTTCTAGTTGCTGTATGTGGGACGCCGCCTCAGCATGGCCGGACAAGCAGTGTGTGGGTGCGAGCCCAGGATCCGAACCCGGGCTGCCAGTAGCGGAGCACGTGCACCCAACCACTGAGCCACCAGGCCGGCCCCAAGAGGTTTCTTATATAAACAAAGAAACGCAGAAATTGGAAAACCTACTCATTGACAAAGGAGTGGGGTTCAAATACCTGTTATGGAACAATAGATGATGTGAGGAGCAATCTTGTCTATATCTTCATATCCCAGGCCCACTGCAGACAGTTTGCCAGGGACATAGTTTTCCACAAATACATCACAAACAGCTGCAAGCTGAAGGAAGAGACGAAGATGAGTCAGACTTCTTAAGGGACTTCCAAACTTTCAACAAATCCCCACATGATAGAATTCTAATTTCAGTAAACACAATTGATCCTCACTTTGTAACAGTCCAGAAGAATGACAGGAAAAACAGAATTACAAAGTAGAATTAGATAAACATAAAGGTTCTAGTCAACTCCTTGAGGTATTACTGTCAGTAAAATAATGACTATTAAAATTTTCAGTAAATACGATGGTATTAAATGGATTCTGCTTATGTTAAATGTAAGAAACTGCTAGGTTACATGGTCCAAAAACATTCTCAGAAGTTTAGGTAGAAAAATTAGAATATAAGTATATAAAATATATGAAAAACATCTTTTAAACCCTTTACAAAAAACTAAATACAATGTCTTTACTACTCTCCATCCTTATTATGCAATATTCCTCATTGCAACATGCACATATAAGTGCTCAGACATGTAAACATGATTCTGAAATGTTTTCATACTTTTTAGATGCTTTCTTTCCAAAGAGTTTTAAATGTACTTAATGAATCAGTTTTTTAAAAAGAAAAATTTTAAACTATAACCCACTGAATCAGTAGCTGTCAGAAACAAGACCCAGATTTTTATTCCAAGATGACTGCTACAGGAATTAGAGGACAATGAACCATTATAAACCTTACTATCAAAATTCTTTTCAAAATTTCAATTGTGACTACATATCTTTTAAAGTCTTTTTTAAAGTCATCACAAAAATTATACTAGGTCATCCAGAAAAATTAATTACAGTAATTCTTGAACATATCCAAGTCCTTAATAATTATTCAACAAAGTTTTAATTGCCATGTTGACTTAGGTTTAGATTTATTCACACACATAAACTAATGTAACAGAATAAGACTCCAGATCAGAGGTGGGCAAACTTTTTCCATAAAAGATAAAATAGTATATATTTTAGCCTCTGCAGGCCACATCCGTTGTCTATCACATATTCTTCTTTATTTTTGTTTATAATCTTTAAAAATGTAAAATCCACTTTTAGTCCACGGGTCATATAAAAACAAACCTGATTTGGCCCCCATAGTTTGCCAACCTTTGCTCTAAATGGAAAAGGTTAAATTAACATAAGTGTTAGATGGAAACACGTAAATAAATTGAGTGCCTGTCTGATATTGTGTCACCAAATTTGGAGTGTATATATGGAATTTTCTGACTTAACAAAATTAGGGGAAGTGGGGGAAATCTTAGGAGACTTCTCAAGGAAATAAGTTATTCTCCAGAGCTCCTGAAATAGAAGCACCAGAGGCCCAGAGGACCACCTGTCAAGAGAGGAATGATAAATATATTAAGATATAGGACAGAGACAGAAAGGTTTAAGTATATGCCCCAAATCTCAAGCCATATAGACATCCTTTCCAAATTTCAGGCACCAATTAACATTTGAGCTACTTCTCACATGGGCAACTGCATGCAGTATGTTCCAGGCAGAGTCCCAATAAAGATGCATTTATTTGTTAATGATTCTACCAAGTATTGCTTGGGGGTTTGAAGGAAGGGCAGATGTTAGTATTAAATAAAACACAAAGCTACAGTTACACTTCAATTTATTCCACAAATTTTTCTAAGCCTCTATTTACTACTTACAAGGCACTCCTGCAGGCACTAAAGAAAATAAACTACATCAAACACAACTAGGCTTCCACATTGGTCACCTCTCACTGCATGTATTCTGCATGGTGCACAATAAAGTACCTTACGCAAATGACATTTAATAAATTATTTTTAAATTTAAAAAATCCTGTGTGGATGCCTCAAAAAGTTAACCATAGAATTACCATATGACCCAGGGGCTGGCCCGGTGGTACAGCAGTTAAGGGCACGCGCTCCACTTCGGCGGCCCGGGGTTCACGGGTTCAGATCCTGGGCATGCACTGACACACCGCTTCTCAAGCCATGCTGTGGCGGCGTCCCACATAAAGTAGAGGAGATAGGCACAGATGTTAGCCCAGGGCCAATCTTCCTCAGTAAAAAAATAAAAAATAAAATTGAGAGGAAGATGGGCACGGATGTTAGCCCAGGGCCAGTCTTCCTCAGCAAAAAGAGGATTGGCATGGATGCTAGCTCAGAGTTGATCTTCCTCACAAAAAAAAAAAAAAAAAAAGAGTTACCATATGACCCAGCAATGCTGGTATACTAGGTATACACCCAAAAGAAATGAAAACAGGAACTCAAACAGATACTTGTATGCAAATGTTAATAGCAGAATTTATTCACAATATCTAAAAGGTGGAAACAACCCAAGTGTCCATCAACAGACAAATAAATCCATCCATAAAGTAGAATATTATTCAGCCATAAAAAGGAATGACATTCAGATACATGCTACAACATGGATGAACCTTGAAAACATTACATTAAGTGAAATTAACCAGATGCAAAAGACAAATATTGTATGATTTCATTTATATGAAATATCCAGAATAGGCAAATTCATAGAAACAGAAAGTAGATTAGAGATTATCAGGGTTTAGGGGAGAGGGAAGTGGAGAGTTATTGCTTAATGGAAACAGAGTTTCTGTCTGCGATGATGAAACATTTTGGAATCAGCAGTGATGGCTGTGCAACAATACGTAAATGTAATTAATGCCACTGAATTGTACACTTAAAAATGGTTAAAATTGAAATTTTTATGTTACATATACTTTATCACAACAAAAAAAAATTTTTTAACTATGTAGAGTATTTGTATTTTTAGACTTCTATGGAATCATAGCTCACATCTCAATCCACATAAAGTATCCAGATGGACTACAAACAAATTCACTGTTTCAATAAGACAAGAAAATAAATATAATGAATAAGTTATGCTAATAGGAAAGTATTCAATTTTTTTTTTTTTTTTTTTTTTGGCGAGGAACAGTCACCCTGAGCTAACGTCCACTGGCAATATTCCTCTTTTTTTGCTTGAGGTAGATTAGCCCTGAGCTAACATCTGTGCCAATCTTCCTCTATTTGTATGTAGGATGCCTCCACAACATGGCTGATGAGTAGAGTAGGTCCCTGCCTGGGATCCGAACCCGTGAACCTGGGCCACCAAAGCGGAGCATGCGGAACTTGAACCACTTGGCCCCGGGGCCAGCCTCCTCAATGTTTTAAGTAGTGAAAAAAGCACATTAAAAAACAATATACATGGTATTATTTCATGTTTTTTGGGAAAAACTGAGTATACAAAGGCATAAAGAAATTTGATATGATACTCTAAAATATCAATCTTTTTGCCCATTACCTGTGTAACAAGAAAGAAAAAATTTTTTAACTAAAAAGAGCTGTGCTCAGAATACCATGTAGTCGGGCTCTACAACGTTATAAGAAAAACATGGAAAAGCTGAGTTTAAGAGCTAAGGACTTCTACTGATAAAGACGCCCAGTAGTATTTTATGATTACCCAAGAATTCAACGTGTATGCATTATGATATTTATTGATAAAATATTCCTGGAAAAGTATGTAGGGCAAAAATTATTCTTTTCTCCGCTTTATAAATATTTATTTTAAATAAATATGTACAAGCCACTTATTAGTGATTCTTTGTGAGTCTGTCATCGAACATATTCTCTTTCCCTCTCTGTTTCAGGATACTCACACAATTCAAGATCATGCATGTTCTCTACAGCTTTAGCTAAGTCATTCATTAAAATTCTAATCAGAACAGTGCTGAAATCAGAGTTGTCATAAAACTTCCTCTGAGTTATATTGATCTCCACACTATCTACAAGTATTATACAAGTCAATTGTTTTAGTGGAGACCAAATGTTTACTGCATTGCCCTGCTACAATAATCTACCAGGAAATAAAGTGAGAAAAAAACGACTTGTTCCCAGTTTTACTGATGATCACCTCTTCCTCGTTTAGGTGCTCACAAATCACCTAATAATCTTTTCTAGAATCTTTCCCAGAATAAAAAACAAGCACAGTTTTGTATGAGTGAGAGAACCCACCATCTTTTTCTTTCTGAATGGGAAAAAAACAATCTTCCTTCCAGTCACAGAGTAAATAAGAAATAAAATCAATCTGAAATATAGAGTACCTAATTCTGAGTTCTCTTCATTAAATATAATTTAGGAACAGACTGGATGAGCAAGATCAGAAATAGAGGGGAAAGTGATGATAATAATTTAACCACATTTATGAGTGAAGAAATCAGAGTAATTTTTTCAATTTACGTCAAAGAATGTCCTTACTCATAGGAAATGTATTCTGAGGGATTTACAAGCAAAGTTTCATATCTTCCACTTACTTTCAAAGAGTTCAAAAACACACACACATACACACGTATACATATGTAAGCAAATACAGCAAAATGTTAAAATTGTTGCATCTAGGCATAGGGTAAATGACAATTCATTATAGTATTCTTTCAACTTCTCTGTATGTTTAAATTTTTCATAATAAAATGTCAGAGGAAAATACAACCTATGACACTGCTCTGTGAACCATAACATGTGCACACAATTTGGATATTGTGACTGTCAACTAACTGACATACAGAATTATTTCAAATATAGAAGATGCATTAGAAAGTTATCAGATCATAATGCCATAAACATACCAGGCTCCACAAAGTTTTTCTAAGCAGAGTTTTGTTTTTTATACAACCTGTTTTCGGTTAGCCTCGTTGACAAAGGAGTCATACTTTTTGGAGCTCTCACGTATCCAGCTGATTGCTTTGTATAATACTTTGGAACCGTTTCTATAAATTAGACTCGTTATATTAGCAATCATAGCCACCAAGGTCTGAATACAGAGGTTGTTTTGCTACTCTTAAGGCCAAAAGAGAAATTCATGTCAGAAAGAACAAAAAGACTAAGCAAAAAATAATTTTTCCTCTAGGCAGTAAGATACATAACTTATGAATGATATAACTAACTAAAAGCCATAGACATGAATAATGTCCCCAGACAATCTATTTAAGTTTAATATGAGTTAAAATGTACTTTATTGTTATCAATCAGACATGAAGAGAAATCAAACCCATAATGAAACTTAATTTTAAATTGTTACAATCTGGTGGAGGGCACTGGCAGGATCCAAGGAGAAAGAAAAGGAAGTCCCAGCAATTCATTTATTTTGGTCAGAATTATACCTGTAGGCCTAAAATATTCAAATGTACATTGACGTCTTAGAGCAAGAGTTATGAATTTCACCCGACACTGCCCCACTGAGAAGCCGTAGTGAAACTGTAAAGTATTTGTTAAATCAAACCTGAAACTTTGACTATTCAGGATAAAATATCAGAATGTTCTGAAATGGAAGCAAAGAAGCAGGAACTGTGAACACTGAAGATGGAACTGAGAAACACAGAACAGAAAGAGAAGAATTAAGGAAAGAACAATCTCCTAGATTAAAAAAATAACTACTGAGAAGAAAATAAAAAGAAAGGCCTGAGAATGAAGACAATGGGAGTCGGGTCCAAGGTAAGGGCAGCCACTGTAGGAAAACAGAGCAGGACAACAACAATGCAGAACAATTTAGAAAAATCAAACTAAGTTTCAACTGAACAAAGAAAACAAAAACAAACAAACCTAAGTTATACTATAGAAAAGATGTAGGAAAACAGGACAGTAAGATCAGGACAATATCAAGCTTTGGGTTCAAAATGTATCTAGTATACAAAAATTCCGAATTTGCTGGATTGATCCAATAGAACCAAAGTGGATGGTCACTGATCTTGATCTTAATAATTAAAAGAAATTACCTTCTAATCGGCCAGATAGATAAGGAAAGTAGCAGCAGAGCAATGATGTTAAAGCTGATGCTTTGGAATAAAACAAATTTTGGGATTTCATTCCCTAATCAAGTAGACTTATATCCATTAGATTAGATTTTAAACTTTAACAAGAATGGCAAACAAGTTTTATCTCATGTGATGAATCCAACTTCATGTGCGTCAGGAACAATAATAATAATAGGCAATGCTTAATGCGTGCTGACTATGGGCAGGCACTCTTCTACACATTTTACATGTATTAACTCAATTCTAACAACCCTAAGAAGTAGGTACTATTATTATCCTCATTTTACTGATAAGGACATTGAGGCATAAAGCAGTTAAGTAACCTGCCTGAAGTCACGTAGCTAGTAGGTAGAGAAGGCAGGATTTTAATTCCACGAGTGGAACGCTAGGGTATGCTCCAAACCATTATGCAATCCTGCCCCTCAAGGAAGGATGCTGAGTTCAGGTCTGGACATATTGGTCATCTGAATAAGCGTTAAAAAAGCTTGGGCTCTCCAGTGATGTGACCCAGGGTTCAAATTCCAGCTTTTCCCTTTACTAGCTATGTGATCGTTGGAGCACCACTTAAGCCCCATGAGACTCATTTCCTTCCTGTGAAAGTGAAGATTCTAATATCTCATTTACAAGACAAATTCTGAGGATTTGAGAAGATAATATAGATAAAGTGGCCAAGCCTAAGATCTGATGCAGAGTAGGGACTCAGTCAATAGTAGCTAGACTATAACTGAATACTCTCACAGTGTGGAGAAACATGACACTCAATATACAAGAAATTATAAAGCATATTATACTTATTAGAAAGGTAAATTTAAATTCTTAAATGGCATTTACAGCAAAATTACAGATTGTCAATGAAATAAAATTTTAAAACACTTTCATTCTGATGTTCAAAGCTCTAATTACAACCCAGGTGGTAAGATGCAGTCCACAGAGCATACTGTACCTCTTTGATGATTTTCACACCTTTTGGATCCTTGATATTAACAGCTATACTCTAAAAATTAAAATATATATATTAAAATAGTATCATAAATGTTTTTCTTATTACTGACAGTTCAACAACGGAGCGATTCATAACATAGATTCTCCTCTTAAAGCAAATGTATTTTCCTCATGAAGAAACATTTAAATCATCTTTACTGATGTACACCTGAAATTTATACAATGTTATAAACCAATGTTACTGCAATAAATAAAAATTTTTAAAAAAATAAATCGTCTTTACTGATTTTATTTGCAATTTTTATACGTTAGGACGACAGCAAAGATTATAGTAAAAATTTTTCAAATAAAAATACCAAGTGTTAGGCAATTAGCAATCTCCAAAAGAATAACAAATGTAAAGAATCAAGTGATTCCTCTCTTTAATAAAATTATTTCCATTATAAACCATTATAAATTCTCAAAATGTTTTAAGTTAGTAGCAAAGGAGGACTCTAGCAAAAAGCTCTATTGCTTCTATTTGGTAACTGGTGAATGAATAAATTTCACCTTATTCGAAATATTAGTCATATCTACAAAAAAAGGTACAAACAAACAAGCCAGGATGATATCAAAAGTTTTGTTATGACAAGAGAATTACACAAAGAAAGCAAAAAAAGGAACAATATTCTTACTTTTTTATTTCGGTTAACACTGAGAAAATAAATACTTTCCGTCCCCACAAAAGGTGGCCCCCAAGTTCGTGTATCATCACCAGCTCCTGGAAATAATAGTTTGAGCTATTAATCTTTAACTTTGAAACATCATGAGACATTTCAAACCAACAGGCTCACTCATCATACACATTCACAGGTGTCTGAACAAGATCAGCTCAATTCAGTGGAATTAGCAACCCAAAGGGGGCCACAGGAGCTTGTTAGGACTGTCCAAACTCTACCTGTTCATGTGAATCACTAAATCCTTCCACATACTCTTTCACTAAACTCCATCCCTGAAAGTCAAAATCCAGAAGGAAATATCCTACTGGCAGTCTTAAAATTTAATAAATTGCAAATTTAAGGGGAAAAAAATCACTGTCAGTTTTTGAAAAGCAAGTCAGTCTGCACTTCCTGTGTTTCTTGGCATTAAATGGGCAAAGAAAATGTTGAGTCTGCAAAAGATTTTTGTTAAATATTATTTAAGCCAGAATAATGATAAGTAAGTCTTTATGATAAAATGGTATCTGAGGCTAGGTATAGCACAATGATAAATAAATAAATCTTATAAAAAAAATTTTCTGGGGGGCCCAGGCCCATGGCTTGGCGGTTGGGTGCATGCGCTCCGCTACTGGCGGCCTGGGTTCGGATCCTGGGCACACACTGACCCACCACTTGTGGGGCCAAGCTGAGGCGGCATCCCACATACAGCAACTAGCAGGATGTGGAACTATAACATACAACTATCTACTGGGGCTTTGGGGAGAAAAAGGGGAAAAAAAAAAGGCGGAGGATTTGCAATAGATGTTAGCTCAGAGCCAGTCTTCCTCAGCAAAAAGAGGAGGATTGGCATGGATGTTAGCTCAAGGCTGATCTTCCTCACAGAAAAAAAAAAAAAAATTTCTGGGGGCCGGCCCGGGGGCGTAGTGGTTAAGTTCACGCTCTCAGCTTGGCAGCCTGAGGTTCGCAGGTTCAGATCCCAGGCACAGACCTACGTACTGCTTATCAAACCATGCTGTGGCAGGCGTCCCACATATAAAGTAGAGGAAGATGGGCACGGATGTTAGCCTGGGGCCAATTTTCCTCAGCAAAAAGAGGAGGATTGGCAACAGATCTTAGCTCAGGGCTAATCTTCTTCACTGAAAAAAAAAAATTTCTGTAGCAACAGCAAATCAGAAAAGGCAAAATAAGTTACTGAATAGCAAATTCTGTTAATTTAAAATACTGCTTTAGAATACAGTTTTAATCACCTAGGTTTTGCTTTAAAGTTTAAAACCATCAAAAAATAGAGTATTTTATTCTAGACATCTACTTCAAGTGATTCTGGAATTTTTTTGTGTTTGATTCAAAGACAGCACCTTAGAGTTATAGAAAAAAAGTCTTCTTTGCACAAAAAGTACTGGCAAACAACATAGATAGAACTCAGAAAATGAATCAACAATTAAGTGACACAAAATAGCATCACTTAAATTAAGAATTTTATGACATAAGTTCTGATTAAATATTGATATAAGAAACTAATCACTATATAAGTAATTACAGTTAAAGTATTTATCACTTTCCCCCCACAAAGAGAGAATTTGTGAATATGAGTTAAACTTTAAATTCTAATCTTATTTAAATGATGTAATTAATCTAGTAGCCCATTAGACTTTACCCACTAAAACTGATCAAGAAAAATAGACACAGCCTTTTGGAAAATAAAACAGAGGCTAAAGAATAGATTCATTTATTAAAAAAAAAAAAAAAAAAAAAATCACAAGAGAAACAGAGGACCCAGGGCAGAGGAGAAAAGAAGCATTAGTTCCAACTAGAGATGAATCAACAACAATACAAAACAGCAAACGGTAAGTATCAAACGGAATGACATGCTCAAAACATCAGGAGAAAAAAATGAACCACAAGAGCCCACAAAGGCAACCCCTCAGTAATAAACCAGTTAGAGGCTTCATGGAAAATGTACGCGTGAATCTGGATCTTCAGGATCAGGAGGACCTCTTAGAGTCGAGAGAAAGTACAGCCACTTCCATTTTTTGAAGCTCCCAATACAGTAAAAACATTTTTTAAAATGAAGAATTGCCAAGATAAGGCTAAAATTAGATATTTTATTTTAAATGTTTACATTCATCTCTCAGGTGAAGTTAACGTCAAAAATCTAAATTGGAGGCCTACTCGGCTTTCCCCTCCCACCTGCCCCTGGTATACAACCAGGGTTTTAGAGAGGCAGAAGGATCAGGGCTGAAGGCACATGACAGGAAATAAAGGTTAAAGGTCACAAACTGGTAAAACTGGCAGTTTGAGAGACATGTTTTATTTGACCCAGACACAATTTAAAGTTTCTAACTAGGTGCCATGATTTCAAAATCTGAAGATCTCATATAAAAATTCAGATTGCCTTCTTAAATGATATTTCAATACATTCATTCATTCAGCAACTATTTACTGGGTGCCTACTATGTCACGGACACTGCTCTATGCAAGGCAGACACAGCAGTAAACAAAAGACCAATATCCCTGCCTACTGGGGACAATCCTAGAGTATCAGCAGCATCATTTGCTGCCTGCCCCCCAGTCCATTTCACTCATTTAGGTTACCTGCCTGGCCCTGCAAGTATATAGTTTCCATTCACTAACTCTAAAAAAAGAAGAAAAAATACACTTAAGCTTGATATGCTCTTTGATTACACAAATAAGAATAATCTAAGTCAGAAAACTACAACGAAATTTTATTTAATTAAAGAACTGGAGAAGTGGACATGAAAAGAGACCGGTTCTCTACTGAAATTTGAAATACTGCCAAAACAATTAAATATACAATATGAACACTAAAATATATTGGGCAATAATAATATAGGCAAGCTTATAAGGGAAAGAGAGCAATCAATCAGAAAAAGAGCAATGAACACCTGCTAGGAACAAAGCTTGATACCAAGTGTATGGCTATGGGACATCATAAAGGCCTAGACAAAGGAAGATGTCTTCCACCATGGAAACGAAAAAGTACAAAGGAGAAATAGGCCTAAGTAAATAGGGAATAATGATTCCTAAAATTAATGTAAATACAAATATTTGGCCTCGTGATTAACTGAAATAGCAAGAAAAATTAGATGGGATGCTTTATCTAGGAATGGAATACCCAACGGTTGAAATTAGAAAGTGCTGTGGCATTGAAATTGGATAGCAATGTGGAAATTAGAAGGTTTACGGAACCTAGAAAGAAAAAAAAGATGTTCAGCTAGAAAGTGAACATTATTCAGCATGTATCCAGCAATGACCAAAAGTGATAAACATCACTGACTGGATAATTGAGGCATTATCTCTTGAAAGCAGGATTGGCCAGGCTCTTCTATCACCTGGAGCAGATAAACACAGGATCAGATAAATATAGTATAATAATATATAATATTCCCCATGCTGATTGGAGAATCTTCTGCTCCCTGCTTTGGGTCCTAAGATCTATTTAGCAGAAAGTCGAATCTTCCAGGTCAAGTATTCTAGTTTACAGTGTTCAATTATTTATGGTAAATTAATAAGTTGATGTAATTATAAACTAGTCTCTTGAGTCAAATAGATACATGCACACTATTCAAGGCTAGACCATTTTCATTGATTTGAAAATTCTGTTCCAGACCCATAAGCATCAGATATTGAAGAATAAATAATAATGCTAATTTCTGAAACCTTCCAAAACAAGCTGTTCATAGGATGATGCAGAGGACGTAGAGACATGGACTCTGCCCTTTAAGTACTTGTTGGAGAGAAAGGGCACATAACATGACACTTTGCTAAGCAACGTTATCAATAAAGGCATGCATTAAACTCCAAAAGCTAAGAAGGCACCAAACCAAAGTGAGAATTGTGTACACAGAATAGGTTTATTTGGTGAATAAAGAGGGAAGAAAAAATGGGAAAGATGTCAGATGAAAAACATAAAAACGAAGAATTGATTTTAACTTAGCTGTTTTTCCCTCAAAATCTTTAAAATTATAAAATGGGAAAATGTTGATTTTATTAGAAATAGAAAAGAATGACAGGTTGGAGTAATTGGGTTCCTTTTTGAAGGACTTTGGTTCCTTTCCCTTCTCTCCTTCCTCTGTGTCCTACTTCTTCCCTTTTACCCTCCCTTGTCCTTACCTCCCTTCATCCCACAGTGAGGGAGTGTGTCCAGGCCCACTCTAATCTCAGTGTGGGGCTAAGGAGGGTCAGGATCAGAGCTGAGGGCCTGGAGATTCCTTATTAGCTGTGTGACCTTGAACAAACTGCTTTATCTCTCGGTGTCTCTGTCTTCTCGTTTATAATTGAGGGATAATAATATCAACCCATAAGGTCACTGTAAAGATTAAACTAAGTAACATAGGCAAAGTGCTCAGACCTGTGGCTGGCACTATGATAAGTGTTATTAGCATCACTGTAATTACATGCGGCATCTCAGTTTCTACCAGAGGCTTTCAGGTGCATGTGAAGGACTTGGCTTAAGCCTCAGCCCTTGGCACCTAAAAAGAGTAAAAAGAGATCATTAGTATAGCTTCAGAGGAAAATAAGGAATGGAGAAGAGAAAATAATCATTTCATTTCAATTCTCTCCCCATCCCACATACAGGTACATGGATATTTAAATAACTATTAAAAATATTTATTAGCTTGTTTTTATGTTTTAAAGGGAGCATTAGCGGGCCAGCCCGGTGGCTTAGCGGTTAAGCGCGAGCGCTCCACTGCTGGCGGCCCGGGTTCGGATCCTGGGCGCGCACCCACACACCGCTTCTCCGGCCATGCTGAGGCCGCATCCCACATACAGCAACTAGAAGGATATGCAACTATGACATACAACTATCTACTGGGGCTTTGAGGGAAAAAAAATAAATAAATAAATAAATAAAAAATTATAAAGGGAACATTAGCTTTACCTGGTCTTTCCACTTTTATAACTTCTGCTCCAAGATCTCCTAAATTCATAGTAGCAAAAGGTCCCGCCAGTACTCTACAATGTTAACAGTGATAAATAAATTACCAACTTGAAGATTTTTATATTAATTCTTTTCTTAATAGTCCATCAACATAGACAAAGTCATAAAATGCTAGCAAGAATTAAAATTGCTAAAACTGTTCAAAAAAGTGATTTAGCCACATGTACCAAGAGCTTTAAAAAGTATATTCCCTGTGATGCAATAATTCTACTTCGAGAATTTTATTCTAAGGAAAAAAATCAAAAGATTTCCTGAGGCAGAGATTTTTGTACAAGAAGCCTAATTTATAATAGTGAAATATTGGGGGATGACTAAATAATTATGTGACAATTCTATAAGAAAATATCATCTTATATTTTTGTTGAATTTTGAATGACATGGGAACATATTCAAAACATAACATTATGTTTTAAATGTGTGTAAAAGTGTAATTTCAATAGGTTCCAATCTTGTTTTTAAAAAATATATCTAAACATGCAGATTAGAAAGAAATGCATAAATATTACACTACTTGTCTTTTAGAATGATGAAATTACAGGAATTTTTCTTTTTTTTCTTTCCAAAATTTTGATAATAAGCATATAAGCATCCTCTTGTAATCCAAAAAATAAATGCATGTTTTTTGAGAGAAGGAAAAAACTCCAAAACACAGATAAACCAATACAAACCTCGTTAGATCCAGAATTTTTACACCCTCCAACGGCTTCATATTGTCAGCATCTGGCAAAACACAGAAAATATTTGAAGAGTACCGACTACTAATTTTCAGGAGGAAGAATAGAGAATTCTTCATATTCTGTTTTAAGTAATCTCTATTACTACCAAAAAATATTTTTTCCTTCACAATATTTCTGCTTTATATGTAACACAGAAACCTTGACCTGATCCAATTAAGTCAATCTGTAAAACTTAAAGCCTCTAATACCAGATTATTCCCAATTAATAAAGTCCACAGCTAAGCTTAAGATAGTTTGTCTAATGAAAAATAAAAAGTAGGAGGGGGAAGGGATGTATAGGCTGAGCACAGAGGATTTTTAGGGCACTCAAAATACTCTGTATGATACTATAATGATGGATACACGTCATTATACATTTGTCTAAACCCATAGAATGTACAACACCAAGAGTGAACCCTAATGTAAACTATGAACAGGTGATTATGATGTGTCAATGAAGGTTCATCAATTGTAATAAACGTACCCTCTGGTGAGGGGTATTGATAATGCGGGAGGTTATGCATGTGTGGGAACAGGGGATACGTGGGAAATCTCTGTATCTTCCTCGGTTTTGCTGTGAACCTAAAACTGCTCTAAAAAAATAACGTCTTAAAAAAATAAATAAATAGGGGCCGGCCCGGTGGTGTAGTGGTTAAGTTCGTGTCTCTGTTTCGGCGGCCAGGGGTTAGCAGGTTCAGATCCTGGGCACGGACCTATGCACCACTCATCAAACCATGCTGTGGCAGCGTCCCATACATAAAGTAGAGGAAGATGGGCACAGATGTTAGCTCAGGGCCAATCTTCCTCAGCAAAAAGAGGAAGACTGGCAACGGATATTAGCTCATGGCCAATCTCCCTCACCAAAAATAAATAAATAAAAAGTGAACTAAACAACAACAAAATATTAACAACAAAAAATAACAACAAAGACCTCTGCATATTTGTTCCACATTTAAGACAGGGAGAAAATAATGAATTTAAAAAGTTTATTAAACAATTTATAATCCTAAGTGTATTTCCTTTTTCTTTTCATCCATCAGCTATAAAAATAAGTGGACAAGTTGATAATTATATCAATAATTTACTAAAAATATTTAACATCAACATTAAATCACAAAGTCAAATTCTAGCCAAATGGCTTACAAAGTTTAGATCATAATGACTGAAATCAAGCTGAATTTATGGGGAAAAATGATGAACTACTGGTTCAATACTTTTTTAAAAAAATAGACATTTTTTAGAGCAGTTTTAAATTCATAGCAAAATTGAGCAGAAAGTACACAGAATTCCCATGTACCCCTTTCTTTCACACATACACAACCTCCCCCACTTTCGACATCCCTCGCTCAAGTGTTAACATTTGTTATAATGGAAGAATCTACATTAACACATCACTATCACTCAAAGTCCATAGTTTACACTAGGGTTCACTCTTGGTGTTGTATATTTTATGGGTTTGGACAAATGCATAATGACATATATCCACCATTATAATATCATACAGAATATTTCAATGCCCTAAAATCCTATGTGCTCTGCCTATTAATCCCTTCCTCTCCTTAGCTTTGTCAAGGTCCACCTCAGCTTTCCTCAGCTGAGAGCATACTATTCTCAGGGTAAACCCTGGTCCAATGACTGAGCAGAGTTGGGGTAGGAAGGCCTGGTCATTTCCCCTACCCAGAACGGAATGTTCTATCAGTCCTCCTTAAAGGTATTGGCTCTGGAACTCCCCACTGGGCTGGCAAAGAATGTGACAGGTCAGCATGCAGTCTGATGGCTCCTCTGCTCAGTCTACTTCTTTCCTTTCTCTTTCACAGGTGTTATTCTCCAATAAATCCTTTGCCCTTCTAACTCTATCCCAACATCTGCTTTCTGGAGAACCCAAGATGTGATAGGGCACTTACTATTCCCTAGACCTGGAACTCTTTTCCTCCACATATTTGCATGTCTTGCTCACTTTATTCAAATTTCTGCTCAGATATCACTCTCAGAGAGACCTTGCCTGATCATCGTATCTAAAACAGCACCCCTCTGAATCTCTATATCTGCTTTATTTTTCTTTATAACACTTATCATTACCTCACATTACATTATATGTTTGTTTATTTTATTACTGTCTTTCCCACTAGAATGTAATCTCAAGGAAGGCAGGACTTGTCTGTCTTGCATCCCATGCCTAGAACAGTGGTTGGCACAGAGTAGGCACTCACCAAGAATTAATTGAAGGACCACTCTGGGAGGGAGAGAAAGAGGGAGGAATCCATATACTTGGTAATTAGTATGATCAATGCAATGGACTGACGTTTGTTTCCCGCCCCCCAAATCCATATGTTAAAATCCTAACCCCCAATGTGGTGGTATTAGGAGGTGAGACCTTTGAGAGGTAATTAGGTCATGAGGGTAGAGCTCTCATGAATGGGATTAGTGCCCTAATAAAAGGGACCCTGGAGAGCCCCTTTGCCCACTTTCCTCCATGTGAGGACACAGCAAGAAGTTGGCAGTTCTCAACCCAGAAGAGAACCTCACCAGAACCTAACCATGCTGGCACTCTGATCTCAGACTTCCAGCCTCCAGAACTGAGAAACAAATGTCTGTTGTTTATAAGTTACCCAGTCTGTGATATTCTGTTATAGCAGCCCAAACTGACTAAGATCATTAAAAGAGACCAGAATCCTCAAAATCAGGTAGCTAATTGTTCTCTCACCTGGACAGGGCTTGAATAGGGTGAAAAAAGAGACAGTTAAACAAAGACACAGTGAAAATGCTCCGCCAAAAAAATCAATGGGAATTTGAGGGTACAGGTAAGCTTAGCAGCTAGAATGGAAAGGAAAATTAGGCCAAGAGGGAGAGGAAGCTGAGCAACAATGGCAGGAGAAAAATTACCAGAGAAAAATTTCCATCAGCGAGATAGCTAAAGAACTTTTTTAAATAACAGAAATAGTTAATATTAGGTTTTAAGTTGTATATGGTACCCCTCCAAAGTCACCAAACTGATTCAGTAAACCCTGGCATAAACACAAGCGCCTTGTGTGAATAGTTCTGGGGAAAATCAAACAAAGGCTGGGTTCCACATTTGAGTAGGTGCTGAGGCAGAGAAGAGAACAGGTGTGGGAGGCTGGACATGAGCAAAAGCTCCTGTTACATAACCTTTGTTCCTACTATGTGCTAATCATTCTATGAAGATACAGTGACAAGAGGCATGATATCTCCTCAAGGACTCCATGGTCTACTGGGGCAAACTGAGATGTACAACTACTGCAATGATTAAGAGAAGTATCCCTAGGTTCAAATTGTTACTCTATTTACTAACTTGTGACCTTGTTCCACCTTCATTTTGTCACCTGTAAAGTAGGATAATACTGGTACCTAATTCAGAGGGTTGTTAAAAAATTAAATGAAACAATGCCTTATAAGCATTTAGCCATGGTGCTGAATAAATGTCATCTATTGTCAGTAATATTTCTATCTTCCCCCAAAACTTGCCCTTGTGTTCCTTAATTCAGTAAATGGTATTCCTACCCTCTCAGTAACCCAAGTTAAAAACCCAAGTAAAATCCTTGTCTCCTCTCTCTTCTGTCACCCCTCAAATTTAATAACGAACCACTTACTGCATATTCTTTCGCAACAATATCTCCTGACTCGCTTCTCTTCTCCCATCCCCATTGCCACCATCATAGTTCAGGTCACCATTAACTCTCAACTGAATTACTCCAACAATCTCCTAACTCATCTGCCAGTCTACAATCTTGGTTCTCTTCAAAAAATTTTCCATTATGCTGCCAGAGTTACCTTTCAAAATGCAAATCAGTCCTATCTTTTCTACCTATCTTTTTTGTGTATGTGTGATGAAGATCAGCTCTGAGCTAACATCCATGCCAATCCTCCTCTTTTTGCTGAGGAAGACTGGCCCTGGGCTAACATCCGTGCCCATCTTCCTCCACTTTTTATGGGACGCCGCCACAGCATTGCCTGACAAGCGGT